CTATATCTCGTATGCTTTTGGTCTTGGGTAATATAAACAACTAGATGGACCTATGATCCGCTTTCTGCCTTGGCATAAGGCAGCTTTTATGTGGGATCTGTAAAGACTTTTGTTTACCTGGGGGAGGCTGAGTAACAGAATCTATCATATTTCATATTCAGAAAAGAAAGGCAATAAATATTAAAGATTGAGTCATTTGTTTGGCTTTCATTGCAATGCCATGACATTTATAATGCAAATTTCTCTAATTTCCTATGTAGGAACAAATGCACAAAGTGAAGACACAGATATATTTCATAAACCTACCCTTTTCAATACTTTTATGTAACTCTCCAATCTTTTAAGGTATAGAGGGAGACAAAAAGTGAGCATAAAAATCTGTGCACTGATGGAACAAACCCACAGGAGTTCTCTGTGCTAGGGAATGCGCACTGCAAAAAATGGATACAATGGCCAAAATGCATGCAAAAAGCTGCATTTTGAATGGAAGGTGTTTACACATGTTGCAGCCCTTTGGGGTAGAAACTGTACCAGAAACCTTGAGAAGTAATGATTGTGGGGGTTTTGGTGATCTCTGAAGTTGGTTGTTTTCTTACAATCATTTTGTTACCCAAAGTAGCTAACATCATCAGTGCTAGAAGGGAACGGGGTTAGCTCTCATTGTATATTCTAATGACTTGCCCTCTCAGTATTGGTAGAAGTGTTCTTGGTGGTTCTTTTATTGAATAGTTTACTGTTAGCTTGTTTGGCAGTTCCTTGATTGGGTATTGTTTGCTTCTTGATTGTTGATCTAATGTTAATCTTGATGTTAATCACTGCTCATCTGGTTTGTTTGCTGGTGGGGAGGTGCGCTCATCTTTTTGTTCTCTTTTTGGCTTGATGAATCTTTAGGCACCTTTAGTTTGGATGATTTTTTTTCTTTTTTTTTTCTTTTTGAATTTGTATACCGCCCTACTCCTGAAGGACTCAGGGCGGTGAACAGCCAGATAAAACACATATAATACAAATGTTAAAAAGCATTAAAATACAATTAAATAATTTGGCCCGAAAAACAAAATTTAAAACACCCCAAATTCTTAAGACAAATTTAAAATTTAAAATTTTTTAAAAGTTTAAAAGTTTAAAAGAGAGGTTAGGCCAGGCCGGCCTGCTGAAAAAGAAATGTTTTGATGGCACGGCGAAAAGCGCGCAGGTCCGGGATCCTCCGTATCTCCAGGGGGAGCTCGTTCCAGATGGCGGGTGCCCCCACAGAGAAGGCTCTCCCCCTGGGGGCTGCCAGTCGACATTGTTTGGCCGACAGCACCCTGAGGAGCCCCTCTCTATGGGAGCGAACTGGTCGGTGAGAGGCTACTGGTGGCAGAAGGCGGTCTCGTAAATACCCTGGTCCTAAGCCATGGAGCATTCTAAAGGTGGTAACCAAAACCTTGAAGCGCACCTGGAAGACCACCGGGAGCCAGTGCAGCTCGCGCAGGAGGGGGGTCACATGGGAGCGCCCCGTCGCTCCCATAACCATCTGCGCGGCCGCATTCTGGACCAGCTGGAGCCTCCGGGTGCTCCTCAAGGGGAGCCCCATGTAGAGAGCATTGCAGTAGTCCAGGCGGGAAGTGACGAGGGCATGAGTGACCGTATTTAACGAGTCCCGATCCAGAAAGGGATGCAACTGGTGAATCAGGCGAACCTGATAAAACGCCCTTCCGGCCACAGCCGTCAAGTGCTCTTCTAAAGACAGCTGTGAGTCCAGGAGGACTCCCAAGTTGCGAGCCCTCTCCGTTGGGGCCAGTGACTCGCCCCCAATAGTCAGTGATGGCACCAACTGACTATATCGGGATGTCGGAAACCACAGCCACTCGGTCTTGGATGGGTTGAGCCTGAGTCTGTTCCTCCCCATCCAGATCCGTACAGCCTCCAGGCACCGGGACATCACTTCAAGGGCATCACTGGGGTGGTCCAGGGTGGAGATGTACAGCTGGGTGTCATCAGCGTACTGGTGGTACTTCACCCCGAAACCACAGAAGATCTCACCCAGCGGCTCACCCTGCCCCCCTGCCAACACTGACTGTGACCGGTCGGAGAGGAAGGAGGAGAACCACCGCAACACAGTGCCTCCCACCCCTAGCTCTTCCAGCCGGTGCAGCATGATACCATGGTCGATGGTATCAAAAGCCGCTGAGAGGTCTAATAGGACCAGGACAGAGGAGCAACCCCTGTCCCGGGGATTGAGTCCTCGTTGACCTATTTCAAGCCATTTTGGGGAGAAACCCCTGAAGTTGGTTTGGCAAGAGCTGCTACATTCCAAGTCTCTGACTCTGTGCCTAACTAATTTTCCTCTGACTGATGAAGTTGCTTCAATGAGCAATGTAACATCTCAGATTAACAAAGTTTGGTCCAGTTGCCACGATTCAACCTTTAGACACCTTTGACATGTTCTTCCCACTATCTGTCCATTTTCTAATCTGACATATATTCTTGTTTTCCACCCAAGAGTTCAGGATGTTATAGATAGCACTTCCTCATCCTATGTTTCCCCAATTCAAATCTGTGTGTGTTGAGAGAGGGTGCTGAGGCTGAGCCCAAAGTCACCCAGAAATCATTGTAGCTGAGTAGTGATTTCAACCCAGCTCTTCCTAAACCAAACAAACATGCCATTTACTACAACTTTGTGACACTCTGGTGATCAGTTAGCATGTTAATTTGTCATACATTTGCCCCACCTCATTTACAATTTGTTTCATGTTCACCCTTAGTGAGATCTAATAAGAAGATAAAGGAATCTCTTTATCGCCCCCTCCCCTTTCAAATAAGTTACACTAAGGATCTTCGCAACTGCAAATGATGTGGAAATTTAAGTAAATGTATAAGTACGGAAGGAATTAAATTCACAATTAAAAAAACAAGATTGCAGGGAAGCTCATTTTGATTCTCTACTTCCCCCCTCTATCTCTCTATCTCCGTCTCTCCGCCGCCCCCCTCTGTCTCTGTCTTTAAAATAGTAATAGACAATTAATAGTACATAAACTTTGCTTCTGCTAATGTTCTCACTTAACAGCAAATTTAATATCATCAGACTCTCCAGACCCTTGGCTAAAGTCTCATGAAAAGCTCATCTTCAGTTCTGACAAGAAATGACACGGGGTTTAGTAAGTTCAAATAGGGTAATTTTAAATTACATTTCCTATTTTTTAAGAGGGGATCTAACAACTAAATTAAATATTTAGAAAGAGAAATGGACTTAAAAGAGTCAGCTCCTGTGACTACAAAAATATGGGAACTATTCTTCATTTATCTACAGTAATGTTTCCAATCAGGTAAAGAGCGCTAATGTAAGAAAACATTAAAGTCAACTGTTATTTCAGTAAAAAGAAACGTGATTTAAAAATGCAAAATCCTGTTGGAAAAGCTGAAAGGAGGGAAATTGGCATAGGACCTGGGTATTTGCGGGACCGCCTTCTGCCGCCGATAGCCTCCCACTGACCAGTACGCTCCCACAGAGAGGGACTCCTCAGGGTGCCGTCAGCCAGGCAATGTTGGCTGGCGACCCCCAGGGGGAGGGCCTTCTCTGTGGCAGCACCTGCCCTCTGGAACGATCTGCCCCCGGAGATACGAAGGATATCAGATCTCCGGGTCTTTCGCCGTGCCCTGAAAACTTTTCTTTTCCATCAAGCAGGGCTGGCGTGAAACACCCCCCCCCCTTTTAGTCTTTTTTAGTTTTTTAGCTTTTAATTTGTCAATGGGTTTTAATTTGAATTGTTTTACATTTGGGCCAAAGTATGTAATTCTTTTAATAATTTTAAATTTTGTATTGGTATGTGTTTTAGTTCTGGCTGTGCACCACCCTGAGTCCACTAGGAGAAGGGCGGTATACAAATTGAATAAAATAAATAAATAAATAGGTTTGATATTTGAAAGAGGGTATTGCATATTTGGAACAATCATAGAGCTAAAATATTTCAGGCATTGTTCAGAACAAACTCTCAGTGATCCAGATCATTTCATAGCAGAATGAACCATTTAGGCTTTTAAATGCTAAGTCCAGAATCTTGAATTGCATTGAAAACCAAGCTAGTATTGGTAGTATTGACATAATATAAAATTCAGAGGAATGCTTATATTGAGCCTTCTGAATTTCCTTGCTGTGCAGTGGTGTTCTAGATTTTTGCAAACCAGATTTGATTGCCTTAACAACATGATGTTGGTGCTGTATACCCGATAGCTGCTATTTGCTATTTAAAGTAGCAAGGTTCTCCATACTCTTCCATTTCCAGGGTTATTGACTTCGATGGCCCTCAAAAATGGAGAATGGGAAAGATAAATTTGTTGGAAAGAAAGGAGCACTACCCTTCCTTTTACAGTGTCCTGGGAAGTAGATGGGGGGAGGGGCGGCTGAGAGTATCATGCAGTTTAGTAGTTAGCCCTCAGTCACCCCCAAAAGTTTGAAAACTGTATCCCTGCCTACACACTGCTAATTGGAAGTTTCTTCCAAAGAAAAATATTTGAGGACTCAAAAGTAGGAACACCCCCCCCCAAGGAGTTGATATTCCTGCTAAAATTTTAAAAGGACACCAAAGTGTCTTCTTGTCCACAGAGAAATAAAGCAGGATATTTGTTTTCCTGCTTTGTGCTGGCTATTTTTTTCCTCTCTCTGTTCCATCAGTCCCCCTGCTAAACTTCAGATGAGATGAGAAAACAGAACTAAAAATCTATTTCTGTCAAAAAATTACTTTGAAAAAATATCTATTGAAAGTGGACATGGAACTCCACTGAATAAAGTGCCAAATATATGAGCACACATCCAAGAAAATAGAAATTTAATAAAATAAATAAATAAAAAAGAATGGGTGTTTTCTTTCCTCTCAAGCTTATCTTTTGATAGCCATCACGGATGTGTTCTTTGCCTTCTGCAGTGACATCACATTTCATTATCAAATTCTATTCTGAAAATTCTGTTTGCATCTCAGAATATCCAGGGACAGGTGTAAACACTTTTAAGTAATTCCAGCTTTACTGGCCACTCTAACGGACGCTAGCTAGCTAGCAGGTAGCATCCATGTCTATCATCATTTGAAATATATCTTTTTCTCCATAATGGCAGGTAAGAATTGGGCCATCTTGCTTTTTGAAGGAATCCCTTGTTTCTCCAGAAGACTCATTTAGAGGCAAATAGTTGCATTATAGAGGCATAGCTGGGGAAAGGAGAAGTTTTGGAGGTGTGTTCTACAAGAGAAGGAAATGTACATGTTCATTATTTTATTTTGTTCACAGAGCAGCATTTAATAACACAGAAGAAGAAATGTTCAAATGAATGTTCTCTTCCTTACCAGGGCTTAAAAATCTGCCTAGTTAGTCTCTCAGGAGGTGGTAGCATCTGGCTAACTTTTCTGGGTTCAGGAATCAAAGTAAATTTAGGAATCCAAGTGCTGTCAGCTATAAGCCTTCTCTGTATTACAACTGCCCTCTAGAACAACATACTACCAAGATCCATACAGCTCAAAAAATCTGGCTCTGAGTTAGAACAGTGTATAAATCCACTATTGAATATGAGTTGCTTCCTGTTCAGTGTTTTTACCTCCTGCAAGTCCACCCGAGTCACACATGAGAGGGTGGCTCTAGAAATCAAAATAATATCAAATATAAATTATTCCAAATTAGGGAGAAGTTAAAAGAAATTCCAGAAGAAAACAATGTTATATATTGTTACTGAGAAAACTGTCTGGGAGTATCTGTGAAATCACTAGAACTGAAATGATATGATATGAAGGAGACGTCGTACAATGTATGCTTCCAGAGACTAGTGGCCATGGCATGCACTACTGATTGTTCAATCAGTCTAGTCTCATCAGGAAAAGTCTTAAAAATGGGTCAGGCAAAGAATAGGCAAGGACACAAGTTTCACAGTGAAACTCATAACATTCAGATGAGATATCAAAGGCACATAGTGTAACTTTTCTCCATGTTCTTATGCGACACTTCATTCATTTATATGCTGTTTTAGTTTAGGTAGTTGCAATTCTGCTTAGATTTTGGGAAGGGGGGGGGTTTCCTGATTGCCATTTCAAATACTTATCAAACCAGTGCCTTACTTTTGCCAGAAAAGTTCAGAGCTTAGCTACAGTTGAAAAATATTGGGGTGGGGGTTAGGAGGAGGAAAAGGCTATGAGCTCACATTCAAATGCCAGTTCTGTTCAGACTAAACTGATTGACCTAAATGATAAAGATATTGACTTACTTGAAAAGGTTTTCTGTGATGGTAAATTTACATCCATATTCAATGGCACACATGCTGTTGGATAGTTCCTTTCCTGATTTGACTTTCAAGCAATTGTTTTCTTTAAAACTCTGTGGAGTAAAAACTGTACAAGTAGCCTCCAATTTGGGAGGCTGTTGAATTTTCTGACTTCCGTCCTGAAGTACATCGAAATACCTTCCCTAAGCAGGTCCTTTCAGAAGTGATGGATCTCAGTTATAATTCTTCCATAGGGTATCCATATGGTAATCCAACCCTTCTGGAATACTCTAGGTGGGAGAAGACTGATCTGGAAAGTTTTTGAAGTACCAATCACCCACTCAGTACTTTGAACTGGTCATGTCTGATGGGAGAAGCTTGGTCCTTTGAGATGATCTCATTTAAGATGTGGTTATGATGATCATATATTCATATGAACTTCTTTGTAGTAACATGCTTTGTAATGTATTAATTATATACTTAACTAGCTGGATACCCATGCTTCACTACAAAACTATGTGATTGGGCTTGATAAATTGAACTAACCAGTTCTGGATTAACTCCCAGGTAGATTCCATGACAGATGTCCCTCTCATTGTCATCATCACCAACAAAGTATATCTGGAGAAATGAAGGCTGCCGCCATGATACTCCCTATCTTGTGGTAGACCTGCCCCTGCACTTTGAATGTTGGCATAAAATTTCCCTCCTTCATCTCTCTGGCTCCAAAAGATGTCATTTGGAAGCATCTGTTGTACTTCCGGGCAGCAGAAAGAAAGTGCTCTGCCATTGGATGCTGGTGGATGAGAAGGCTGTGTAAGGGTTCAGGGGAGGGCTAAAGGGGAGGGAGCTGGACTTTACCGCCAGTGCAACACATCCCGGGAGTCTCATCCTGTCACTTCAGGGCGCGGCACCAGACACAGGGTAACCGAGGTCCAAGATCAACAATGTTTTCCCCTGGAGTAATTAATCTGTGGTTCATATTTAAAACCAGACAAATACTTACTAGTCCAAGGCATTGATTTGATTTGTGATAACTTTTCATTGTATTTAGCTGTAGCTGCTTGATTAACGTAGGGGTTATTAGATGCATACTTTTTTATAGCTTCTCTATTGACTTCGGGATGACTTTGACGATACTTTTTTGCAGCTTCCCTTACTTGTGTTTTCCTAATCGCATCTGTAAATCTTTTCCTGCATTTTTTCCCCTCTTTTCCCTTTAGCTGGTGTTACAGTAGAAGGAACAGATTCATCTGAACTGAGGTGCTGAGTGTAAGAAGTGATTTGGGACACTATGCAGGAGAAATTCAGTTCACAATCTGTTGGCTCAGTGGCAGTTGGTGATTGAAACTCATAAGGGAATATCTCTCGCACTGCCTTGAGTTCGGAAGCAGTTCCATAGGTGGAAGGCATAGACATTTCAGTGAGGTAGCGACGTTTAGTATTGTAAGGAGCCCCAAACTGCTCCTGAGTGGAACATCTGCCAGTTTGAACTGAGGTAATGGAATGTGAGGCAACTGGCAGTTGGAACAACTGGGGGGGAGTAGAATGTCCAACTTCTTAGCATCAGAGCGTGTTAATATAAGGCAACTGGCATTTGGGACAGAGTTCCTTTCATGCGGGGAGGGGGAGTAGAATGTCTAACTCCTTAGCATCAGAGTGTGTGAATATAATACTGTATATGAAATATTAATGATCTGATGGTCATTTCAAAAAATCCTTTCTTAGTGAGCACCTAGAAGCCAAGAGGAACATACATGCCAAATTTTAAGTTTATAGGCTTTACGGTTCTGGAGATTTTGTGATAAGTGAGTAGTATTTGGCTTTGATAGATAGATAGATAGATAGATAGATAGATAGATAGATAGATAGATAGATAGATAGATGATAGATAGATAGATAGATAGATAGATAGATAGATAGATAGATAGATAGATTTATGCAAGCAGCTTTTCCCAATACATTGTTCTCCTTCTCTTCTCTCCCTTCCCTCTATATTTTCTTTTTCCTTCTCCTTCTGAAAAAGGTATTTTAATTTGCCCATTGAAAACAAAACAGTTCCAAATTTGTCCTGCATTCTTATTTTTGAAGTAGGGAATAGAATCCTGGAGTTTAAAAAAAAACAACAGAAGAGTCAGAATAATCACTCAAAAACAAAAAAACAAGACAATGCCACATGTAGTAGCTAAATTTAACAACCACAAAGTAATTGGAAGCACTGAAATATTTTAAAAGTAATTGGGCTGCCTGTACCCATTCTTCCTTTACAACAGTAATAGATTTAAGACAGAATTTGTCATGGCAAAAAGAATTGTTCAACATCTTCCTACAGAAATCAAGCTAATGTTTTTCATGTTCAGGTAGTCCTTGATTTAGAATTACAATTGAGCCCCAAATATCCATTGCTATGCATGGCAGTTGTTAAGTGAGTTTTGCCTCAATTTACAACCTTTTTTGCCACAGTTAATCACTGCAGTTGTTAAGTAAATCTCATGACAGTTAAGCGAATCAGGCTTTACCCATTGACTTTGCTGGTCGGAAGATGGCTGGAAAAGTTACAAACGGTGATCACAGGACCAGAGGTAGGTTCTACTTACCTTTACTACCGGTTTGCAATGGGGCCGCAAGTGCAGAAGCATTTTGATGACATTGGGGTCAGTGGGCGGAGCCTCCCAACAGTTTTACTACCGGTTCTATAGAACCGGTGCGAACCGGGGGGGGGGCAACTCACCACTGCAAATGACCCCCGAACATGCAACTGTCATAAATACATGCCAGTTGCCAAGTAACCAAATTTTGATCACATGACCACGGGGATGCTGCAACTGTCGTAGGTGTAAAAATCAGACATAAGTCACTTTTTTCAAGGCTATTGTGCCTTCTAACAGTCACTAAATGGATGGTTGTATTCATTTACCCGTATATTGCAATGTAGGCTATTAAGTTAGTTATGTAACTTTACTGTTGCATGAACAGTCTGCTCATTTTATGATGAGGAAAGAGACAGGAACCCAACGTTTGAGCAAGGGCCATGTCCATTTTTTTACAGACCCCAATTTCCATTTTTCCATTTTGCATTCTTTATTGAATGAAGGTAAAGATGAAGAGTCTCTCAAATTGAGCTGGACTCCGATTGTCTTTAGGGACTTTTTGTAGCAAGAATATGATTTACCATTGCTTTCCTTTAGGATACCTCCTCACTTCACAGTCCAGCTTACCGCCCTGAAATTTCTGAGTAGTCTCCTATGCAAATACTAAGGTAAAGGTTTCTCTATCCAGTCATATCTGACTCTAGGGCACAGTGCTCATCTCTGTTTCTTGGCCAAGGGAACCAGCATTGTCTGAAGACACTTCCATGCTTGTGTGGCTGGCATGACTATACACCAAGACACTCAGAACACTGTTGTTTTCCCACTGAAGTGGTACCTATTAATCTACTTGCATGCAATTTACTGCTAGGTGGGCAGGAGCTGAGACAAGTAATGATAACTCATCCCATTGTACAGAGCTCGGGTCTCAAACCTGAGCTGTCAGCTCTCCAGCTGACAAACTCAGTGTATTTAACCACTGAGCCATTGTACCTATTATTCAAATATTAATCAAATCTAATTCTGCTTTTCCCCTTCCGTTTATCAACCAACATTTTTAAGGGTTGCAGTTTCTGCAGGTGTATTGTATACTAAGGATTCTCCCATCCCAGTGAGAGCTTCCTCTTTAAGTTAAACTGAAAGAGTTGAATCCGTTAGCTCGTTTTTTCCAAAGCTATTCTATCTTTCTCCTGCATTCATTTTTTTAATACTGTAATACATTTTATTCAATTAATCACATAACAGATGGCAAAGGGGAGGAGGTTAGACTGCTGTGTATTC